GATGGATGAGATTGATGAAAGCCAATGTCAAACTAGAATTCAAACAATAAAGTGTCAGAGGTGTGAAAGGCAGCTGATGGGGACATGGAAGAGGACTGTGGAGTACTGCTGAGCATTGACTCTAAAGGGAGACACTTAGAGACTTCTCTTTGACTGGAGTGTGAAGAGAACCTGAGTTCAAAATAGTTAAAGTAGAAAAGCCTGGAGAGTCATCTTAGGCTGAAACTGAAGCCTAGATAATTTTGTGGTCTTAGCGGTAGATGGCATACAGCTGGTTATTTCCATGGTGTTACCACAAGTGGAAGCCCATGTAAAGATTACTGAGGCATTGAAGGTCTGCAGTAGTCCTGGCTTCTTGGTTCCAAACACCCCGCAGAAAATTCATACTTGCTGGTTTTGAAAATATTTGTGACTTACACAAAGCTTATGTCACACGTGTTGTGAATAGGCTAGCTCTTCAAAATGCATGTGCATATTTTTTCACCAGTTCCTATGTATCTGATGGGTCAGGCTTCTGTTATGGATGTTTGCAGTGGCTAAGTCAACAACGATGAAGCCTTATTTCTTCTATTTGAAGAAGAATTTGTCTATACGAACACCATTGTATGTGTGTTTGATCATTATTTTCAGTTAATAGAATGACATGACCTTACATTAACCTTAGAGTTGAGCTATCCAGCTATTTAATGCTCCTCTGGACTCTTTGGGAAGGTGGCAGCTGGGTGGCATGAGGGGAGCAGCGTGTGGAGCAGAGTGAGTTGGCAGCCCTCTAGTGGGAGCCGGGGATACGCGGGGTGTGAGCAGCTGGGAAAGAGAAGCGTAAGTCAACTGGAAGCCACAGCAAGGGGACAATAAAAAAACAGAACTTGACAACAGAGGTGGCAGAGAGCGGTGCTCCCTGAAAGACAGTTGGGAGACAGCTGTATTGGTGGGTGGAGAGGATGAACAGAGGCAGCTGGTCAAATAAATGAATCGGGGAAGGGTGGTGTCTGGAAAAGCCATGGAGGTGAGGACAAAAGGCATCTGTGGTCAGCTGTGGGTCCTGTGTCTCATAAGGAAATTCAAGCAAAGCTAAGACCAGTGTTGAGGTCACACATGGTTGTGTGTGACCTTTCCAGGACTGCAATTTGGCCAGGAAAAAAAGGGAAGGGATTTGAGGTTGAAAATATTGGTATAATCAAATTGGAAATGGTAATAGCCAAAGGATGGGCTGAGGTGTCAATCCTCACCAGTGGTGTAGATGGGGAAAGCTGAGGTGGAGGGAAATGCGAAGATGGGGAGATGGAGCCAGGGGAATGCAGTGGTGTGGTGAGAGCTGGGTGGAAAAGAGAGTCCTGTTACAGCAATTTCAAAGGGACAGAGGTCTGGAAAGAAAACATACTGCTACGGTGAGGGAAGTGATGCATCAGTGTGGGAGTGACTAATGAGGGGAAGGAGCTTTCAGGGCAAAAGGGTTTCTGTAGGGACCTTGGTGTCCGGGCAATGCTTCTCAACGGGCACATGCATCCCGAGCCTAAACTCACCAACACCTTTGCTTCACCGCTTAGTTGGCTGTAGTTGCTGTTGTTGCTCTGGAGCAATGAAGAATTATTCAAGAATATTTTGCTGTGCTAATTAGTCATTATTTTACAGTGGTTGTATTACTAATTATTGATGATTCATAAATTGCAGGAGCTGTAAGTCTGCAGGCATAATGGGGGGGTAAATTTTTTGTATTGGTGATTTAAAAGGGTGGAATTTTAATTAAGTGATAAGTGCCTTTTGCTTAATGGTACTGCTATGATAGTAAGATGATGAACACTGATTTACATAAAAACACTGGACTTAAGTAAGTATCATTGACTTTGTTTTTAGTTCTTTGATTAATAGCTGATTACTGTGGAGATTGCCTAGAAGATTAGAAGGATGCAGGAAATAATATTGGCCAGTTAAAAATGTTAAAACAAAAATTTCTTCACTATTTTTAAGCTTTTGTTATTCCCAGATGTTTAGTTTATTTATCATTTCTTTGCTTCCAACACTGTGTCTGTTCCTGTGTCACTGAAATCAGGGATTTTCTCACTGAACTCTTTGGAACCAGGCTTGTCTCCACATGTTTTACCAGAAAAGTTTGTCATGAACTAGTGTAATAATTGATTTAGGTTGCAGATCTATTAGCAGTCCTTCATATCAAATAACGAGAGATTTATTTAAATTGGAAATCATCAGAAAAGAGATATTCATTTAAGTCAGGAAATGAGAAGAGGTATAGTTGTGGCATCACTAACACGCAACATCCACATGGTGGGATTCTTCTTGGAGTTAGGAAGATGTGGAATCGGTTCGTTCAGCCAAGGAGAGATCCGTAGGACATTTGTGAAGGCCAGGCACTCACGTCATTATTCTTGCCTCCTCCAGCTGTTTTGAAAGAGAAACGAGACAGGCACTTGTACCCAGAACAATTTGGTCATATAAATCCAAGGGACTGATTCAGCTTGTAAAACAAAACTGAAACTCCAAGTCCAAGAAGGGGGATTTCAGACATACTTTTTGCTGTTGTCTGATGAAAAGGTTTATTAATCCTTCCTATGCTCAGGTTCATTACTAGTCTTAAGGGTCCCATCTGTCTCTGTGCATTGTATAGGTAATGAAGTTCAGTAGCTTAGGGACTTAAAGGTTCTACACAGCAATCTTTGAGATATAGCAGCACCTCTTCTGCATCCCGGTGTGGTTCTGACCCTATCATGTCTATGCAGAGCAGGACAGGGACAAGTTTACCTGCACTGGGACTCTCAGATTTTCTGGTCCTCATGAAGCTTTCCTACTGTTAGCAAAGGCAGGGAACACCCTGAAGCTGGGAGCGGGGAAGAGAGAGCAACCCTGATTTTTAGGTCCTTCTGTTCAGGGAGCTGATACAGAAGCAGCAGGGAGAGAAATCCTGAGTCACGGTTGTGTGGATTTTTTTGTTGTTGTTTTAAAATACCCAGCCTAAGAGAAAAGGTTACCCTATAAAGGAATCTCTGTAAAGGGATTGATAGACTTGCCTGCATCAATCTATGTTTTAGACACAGTTATTCCATCCTGGACGAAACAGAGTAATTAAAGCTGGATGTCCATTGAAGTGGTAGAAAAGCAGAAGGTATTAATTTACAATTTCCCTAGTAGCATTAATAAATAGCTAATAAAATAAATATCTGTGTCCTAACTGTCTTTTGTGAAGCATCCCAGGCTCTGATCAATATATTCTGGGACAATCAGAGCTGTGCATTCTAAAAAGAAAAGAAGCTTTTGCACTGATACTAGCCCAAGTCTATTGTGTATTCTTACAGATTCGTCTCATGAGACTACTTTAAAACTTTTTTTTTTCCAAATCAAAGTGAATCATGATAAAAAATGTATTTAAGAGTTTCCTACATAATACCATTTGAGTGTGAATGTGCTGGTTTTCTTTTTTGGTGGAAGGGAAGAAGGGTTGGGACCTTTCAGAGATCTGTTCCTCTAACTTTAATCATAACTCATGGTTGATGATGGGTGCTAACTTTCATTTATATTCTGATATGCTTACTGGCATTAAGTCACATTCTGCTATGGCAGGAGCTCAAGTGTGAAGCGAAGCCTTTGTGTGAGAAAAAGAGAGGTTAACTACACTTACACTGAGGACAGTTTTTGCTTTGCAAAACAGTGGCAGGCTTTGTAGTTTAATCTTTTGGAGTACTGCCTGTTACCACCTTCTGACGTTCGTTGCTGGTCTGAGAAGAATCGAGGCTCAATGGTGCATGAAAGTCCAACGTGTCAGTTGTAGCTATACATAATACCACTGTCTCACGTGCAGGCAAGGCTGTTAATACTTAACACAGTATTGTCTTCTCTAAGGAAAAAAGTTGAATACTGGTAACTTCATCCATTTTGAACGTTTATACATATTCCTTTGAAAAGTACTAAAAGGCTCAAACTAACAAGCGCCACAGACCAAAATGCTGCAGAAATAAGGCTCCAGGATTCCTGTGTGTCAGGGAATGGTCCTGGGAATCTGCCTACAATTAGGGTTTTGTTCAAATTACATGTCTTGCAGGGCGATTGCTTTAACTCACCTACACCAGGCACCTGGGGTAACTGGTACCAGGAAAACAGAGAATCTGCCCTTTTGGAGGTGGCTAACTTGCAAATAATCCTCCATATGCATGAAGGAACAATACTTTAAGGGTTCAGAGACTCTTTGCCTTAAGTACATGCATCTGTGGGAGGACATAGGTATTGTTCAGTTGCTTAACAACCTTTTGTAGCTAATGGTCTGAAGTGAAACAAATCGGTAGTGTAGAGGAAAAGTGTATTGAAACGTATCAAGACATAGGGAGTGTTAGGGTAGTCCAACTCCTAGGAAATACAGCCACAGCCAACGTCTGCTGGCTTTCTTGCAGTAACTTTAAATTATGATGTGCTTTCATGTCTTCTGAAAATGTCATGGCTCACATGGTAGCAATGTTTTTTCCTGCAAACTAAGGCTATGGGTCTGGAAAGCCATTTTAAATCTGCAATACAAGCAAGTTCTCTTGTCTGATAAGTCACTTTTTTCTAATAAAAACCATTAAGGTATTATTATTGAATATATCTCACAAGACCTTTAATGCAAGTTGTGTATTACATGCAAATGAATACAGCAATTTTTGCCCAGAAAAAATAGCTTTCTGTAGTCTTAAGCAAAATACAAGTCCTTCTGTGCAACCAAGGTACTCTGTTGGGGAAAGAGGGAAAAGAGGTGGTGTTTCTTATTTCCGTATTTAAAACCCTATAATTTTTAACTTAGAGGCAAATAAAGCAAAATTAGGGTTTGGTAAGATATGCTCATAAAAGGTGCACTTCAAAGCAAATAAATTAAGGCTGCTAGTCATATGCCTGCCTGCCTTTGAGAGTCTTTTCCAGTTCTGTTTGATCTTTCAGTCTTGCATGTAAAATGTTATCTTGTTAAGAACCAGACTAGAAAAAAAAAACAAACCACCTGTATTACTCTTCTTTAGCAGGCTTCAACTACAGAAGTACAAATTGGGCCCATGAGACTGACACAAGATCCAATTCAGGTAAGATGCTCTTTCAGTTTCTTGATACAGTCAATTCAGTGTTAATGGGTGAAGAAATTAAGGTTCAACCCCTATAGTTAAATATAATTTTTTCATTTTACTTGTGCAAGGACTGTGAGATGGACAATTGGTGTTCTGATTTATCTGATTGCTTGAGAAGAGATCTACAAGTGAATTAACTTGGTAAACAAGGTGCTTAGATTTCCATTAACATCAAATCGTTCCTTTTTTATGTCCTGTCAATACAAGCGTGTGTATATGCGCGTTAGCAGGAGAAAGAGCTGCCTCTCTGGATGTTAAAAATTGTTCAGTTCTGATACACCAAAGAGAGTTCCATTAATAAAGTTTAGGTACCTGGCAAATTTTCCTGGGTTTTGCGCAACAGGACAGAGAACTGTGCTTTTACAGGTCATCAATCCAAGAAATCACACCACTTCCAAAAAGACAGGTTGAACTTCAGCTTAAGGAGCAACAGCTCTCACCTATTCTTGCTTCTGTTTATGTACGTTTTGTTCCTGTGCCAGTAAACAGATGCCAAGAGTTATTTTCTTACCTTACAGAGCTCTCAGATGATAGGAAATTAAATAATCGTAGTCTTTAACATTGCTCTAGTGGTACAGCATTCATTTGAATTAACATTTTGGGTCACTTGACTGTAAAATACAGAGACATTTAGTCTCCTTTTCCGGTTTGTTGTCATCCCCCCCTCCTTGTGGAAGAAATGCTATTCTCAAGGAAAATACATTGTGTGTATATGCATCATTAAGCTTTACATTTTTATTTCTGTATTATAAGCATTCAGTCTTAATGTAGACTTGATCTGATGAAACTATTTGTTTATATCATAAATGACTGTCGAACAGTGGCGTCAGCAGTAGACCAGTCTTTGGCTTTGCAAGGAATTTCAACATGAAATTGTGGAACTCTTAATGGAAAAATGTTGTTTAGACTGTGACCATCTTCAAGAAGATGGTCAAGCAGATGTTTAACAAATACTCTCAGTGCCTATGTCAAGATTTCTCTCAGTAGAAATTGGATTTGCCAAAATATCATAGTACCAGTGTTAGCTGTTGTAAGTGAAGATTTTTCATATAAGAAGAGAAAGTGGGTTTTTTGTTGTTTTTAAAAGTATTTTACATTCTTCTTGGTATCTTGTCAGCTGTGGATGTTATTTTGTCCCTACATTGCACAAGTAAGAATCTATGGTGCTACCATAGAAGACCTTAAGGAAAGCAGAAAACAGACTTTAAGTAAAACCATTAACTGAAGACTTTTCCATGAAGACATTGCCATACACTAATGTATTTACAGTAAAGGGAAAACACTTTATGTAAACCCACCTCCTTTGTTTGTGGAACAAGCCACATTACCTCAGCTAATTTGGCAAGTATTGCACACATCCACGCGTTCAAAAAAAAATGTGTTAATCTTTTATTCCATCTTGACAATGGGGTTACGTGTTTCTCTGTGCAGTGTAAACAGCTACTGAATATCACATTTTAACTGTCTATTTGTGGGTGCTTTTCATGTTCACGATTGTCAATGATAAGTCAATTTAGTTTGTTAAAACCATTGCCACAGGGGCTTTTCCTGGCAATGTTCATTTTATTCTGGTGCATGTATTATGCTGTTGTGGGACACCTGTGCCAACCTTGAAATGGCCCATACTTTTTGCCTGAGAGGTGACCTCACTTGTGACTGTGACCTGCCATAAACTATTTAATAGATTCCTCACTGGACTTAGTGACCATCTGTGGCAGAGGACAAAACTGGTTTGGTTAATACTAGATTGTGACCCGGGTGCCGCTGGCTTAAGGGTCAAGGGGAAGAACCCAAAGCAAACCTACCAGCTCCAACCCTCCAAATGGCCTCCCCGGACGCAGCTTGCACATCTGCCCCGATTTGGTACCAAGGCTTGCAAATAAGCATGGTTTTGTTCTGAGACCTTAGAAATGACCATGATAAAAGTACATGTAAATGCGTTTTCTCCAGAGGACACAGGAGAAAGGTGGTTGTTATAACCTTCTAGTGCACATAAAAAAGCTGTCTCATCCTTTTGCAGAAGTGTTTACCAGGGCTGGTAGAGGTTTGGATGTGTCCCCCATGCAAATACTCCATTTTCTCACCTCTGAGGACATTCATTGACCATCATCTCTTTCACAGCATTGACATCAAACTTCATTTCTCTTCTGATGATGGTGATCTTCCCTGCTGAGCTGCAAATGAAGCATGATGATGCACAGCATTTTACTGTTCCCCCATGCCAATTTTCGATGCAACAAGGGCTCCTCCCTAAATTAATTCAGAGCCACTATGTGTTTTTCACCTTAAAATTCTCTTGCTGGGATACAGTAACATAAAAATAATTAAGGAGCTTTATTTTTACTTCTTACATTGCTGTTTGTACTTTTCTCAGTTTCATTGTGGTACCCTATGTGCCTGTACTCAGCTGGGGTCTCTTGTTTTATTTCTAGCTCTTTAAAGCAATCTCTGTCCATGTTCTGTATTTGTATGATAAACTGGGAACAAGACACACAATACTTGAGTGAAGCAAATGCTTAGAAAGATGGTAAAAATTCCTCCAATACATCCCTAAAAAATGTAAAGGTCTGCACAGAAGTCATCCAGGGTGCTCCTAAACCAGGGCAGCACTGAGTAAAATGATCTTTTTACAGTAACACTGACAAATTATACACGAAAAAATAGCTACATAGTTTTTTTGCAAAGAAATGCAGATTGAATTCAAGCTTTTCCTTGACAGTGTTGTTTATATGGATTGTTATATTTTTATCTTCACTTTGAGAGCATATCTTGCAATATACTTCTAGTTACGTTATGTTTTGATGGTTTATAGCAAGCTTTGTACAAATGTTAATTGGAATGCATGGTGGTAATAGTTTAAAACAACTTCTAAAGTTAATATTCTCAGAAGGGTTCACACGCTGATAATTAGCTACCAGTGGGAGATTGGGTGGTTTAATTAAGGTCCATTATTTTACAGCAGGTAAATGATGGCATTTTGCAATAATTTTATTTCCAAACTCTGAGAGAAGAAAGATATAAAAAAATGTCCCATCCCCCTGAATCATGATTTTCTGAACCATATTGTGCTGATAAGTGAAGTCAGGGAGTGACTTTTATTTGTGAAATGAACAAGATTTTGCTTTATACAAATAGACAGATTATTCTCTGCTGCTTTTCCATGTAATATGAATAGCTGTGGATAAACTCGACTTTTTGAGGCCTTTCTTTTTCACAGCATATTTGCACTAAATTAACCTTTTTCTTTATCTGTCACACAGGGTGGCATGGTTAGTAATCAGTTGCTATGGTAAATATATACAAATTTTGAAGGGGATTTTCTACATGACTTGTGTTCCTACCTGTGTAATTTGTATGCTGATAATATATATATTATAGTGCAAGATGAAAAGTTTGGTCTCTCCTAAAAACACTCTTGCTTTCACACAAGCAGCACACAAATACAGCTGTTTTCAGCCTACGTTCTCTGTCTCAGTTAGCAAAGAGACTTCCTACAGCATCGATTTGATTTTAAGAAGAGTGCCTTGGCACACATCCTACCTGATCTCGTGTAAGCGGTTCCTTAAGTGTTCAGATAATTTTACATAATTAGAGACAATTTATTGGGAAAAAAATATGATGTTTGAATCATTTTTTTTCGCTACACAGCTCTGTCCATACCTGTTTGTCAGTTGTTCTTTTCAGTTTTGAAAGAGCATGGTTTAACTCCATTGTGTTGTACATCAAAGGAGAAATAATGAATAAAACTGCGTTAATTGTTTGTCCCTGAAGAGCAATAATTAAGGCAGTTGCATCCCAGACAGTTCATTACAATTAAAAATGTGTGTATCTGGATTGTCCCAATGAGAGTGGCAATGATGTTTGAACACGGAGCCACAAACTCTGAGTAGCTGCTGATTGAATTTGACTATGAGTTAGAAGGGACTCGTCATCTGGCAGCTGGTTTTGCCCTAAATATCAGTCCTGTGCAGTTAACTGTTGATTATCTATTGATAATCACTCTATCCATTAATAAAATCGTGCTACTGCATCAGCTGTTTTACAGTCTGTAGTTCAGTCTTCCCACTTTCAAAGTAGACTCAGTCTTTCATGTAGCAGAAATGTTTGTTAAGATTTGCAGCATCCAGAGTAATGTTTTCTATGTTTAATGTGGTGCCGCTGTTTTGCATGCTTTGCAGGTTTTGCTGATCTTTGCAAAAGAAGACAACCAAAGTGATGGTTTCTGGTGGGCTTGTGACAGAGCTGGATACAAGTGCAATATTGCCCGGACTCCAGAGTCAGCACTTGAGTGTTTTCTTGATAAGCACCAGGAAATAATTGTTATAGATCACAGGAACTCCAGATACTTTGATGCGGAAGATATCTGCAGGTAACCTAAAGAACTTTATTCTTCTCTTGAACTTCAGAATATATTGCACAAAGCCAAACCTCCTAATTTTAAAAATAAAAAATAGAAAAACACTTCCCACCCCCCAATTATAGTAAAATGGAAGTTTGGGGCTGAGGCCAGGAGGTTTGCATAACCGTCTCTAAGAACCTTATGAAAAATATGCTTTTGGCAAAGCTGAATTGTAGAATTGTCTCTTTAGGTCATGGGCTTCTATCAGAGCGTAAGTCAGAGCTGCTGTGAAATTAATCCCTGCTCTCTGTGCCTTCTTCTTTCCTGGGTTACTGCTGCAGCAAAGTCTGAAGCTGCAGGGCTTCAAAGGAATGTATGTGTTTGTCCACTGGGTCAGGCACTGCCAGCTCTTCACAAAAGTTCGCATCACTCTTGTGGTCCACATGACTCTGTCTTAGCAGCTCTAAGGTTGCAAGTGCTTAGTATTGGGATTTTTTGCTAAAATACGCTGTTTCAGCTGAAACATACATTTTGCATCATACACCATATTGTGCTTCTCAGTCAGTCATGAGCTGAAATTTGCTGTGGTTAGGACAAGGAGCATTTTAAAGCTCAAATACTTGGGCTGATGGAAGTTCTTTTAAAAGACCAACAGATAAATATGAAGACTGTTTACTCAGGACAGTGTGACACGATTGAAAATAGTTATCTTTAGCCATTAAAAGGTGAATGGAGTGTTCTTCTGGCAGTTGGACATACTTTTTTCAGTTTCTCAAAAATAGGCAAAGTGGTAAGATTTTGTTTATTCAACATTTCATAAATTATAGTCTATCATATGCAGTTGCTATACCATCTTCTCTTACTTGCATGCCCCCAAAGCACTTCCCACCCTCTAAAGAATATTTTGCAATATTTAGAAGGGCAATGGTAAATCTGGGAGAAAGTGCGGGAGATTCTTGTTTAAATTAGCTGATGCTTATTGAAAATGCATTGTATAGACTGATCTTTCTCAACCCATGCATTCAGGGCAGTCTGCCCCAAATACACTAAGTAAACAGGGCAAACCTTTGCTCAGTTATAAAAGTGGATTTGAAGAGCTGCTGTTCATGCCCTGTGTTTTTGGAGCTCTTGCCTCTTCACTGCATTGAGCAAAATCTGAAGAATCTAGTAGCAAAATGGAAATGGATTGTCTAAGTGATGATAGGTAGGTTTTGGCAGTGTGATACCCTATTTTGTAGACTTGATGGTGTCTTTCAGTCCTAGTTTTCATTTATATTGTCTGTGAAGATACTTAGAGTAACGCTGAGAAAGTATGTGGTGCAACTGAGAAATTTTTATTTCCTCAGATCTATTCGTGCCACAAAACCATCAGAGCACAGTGTAATACTTGCTGTGGTTCCACACACGTAAGTATTACTGTTTTGTGAAAGATTTTTCTTTTACTTTATAAGAATTTTATGCATAATAGTTATTTAATAACAGAAAGTATCTTACCAACAAGCCTTGTAGAGTGAGCTTGATATTATTTTACCTGATAATGGGTTAGTGGTGTTTTATAAGGACTATATAGGTATTTGATAACTTTCCATTTATACAGACTAGTACAATCCCTGTCACCTTCAGAGGATCATAATGTAATGGCTTGTATACTAAGAAAAAATAGAAAGCTATGTGTTGGTTTCTAAAAGAAAAAAATAGAAAACTGTGTATTACTTCCTAAAGGAAATAACTATATCAAACTGCCAAGATTACAAAATAGACTAATTTTGCTGCTGAGCAAGACCTTACAACTTGCTTCACCTTTTACTTAATACCACTTTTTTTAGATTTTTTTCTCATAGGATATCAGAGGGTGTCTTTTTTCCTCTTCATGCTTTCTTTTTGGAATGCCCTTGTTTGTCTGTGAAGAGACACAGGACTTGTGTAGAGTATCTGTCAGGTTTGCTGTAGGAATAACTGTCAGATTGTAGTAATAGCTGAAAACACCTATAAAAGAAGATTATAACATCAACTTCTGCAATAGTATGATTTTGTGTATGTATTTTACACAAGAGTGTTCTCACTGCATTCATTATGTTTAGGAAACTGTCAAATTGATACCATTTAATTCTTAAATGTTGTGTGACCGTGCAACATACCAGTTCTTTTTAATATCTTTATCAATGATCTGGATGAGGGGAATGAGCGCACCCTCAGTAAGCTTGCAGACAACACCCTGTTGGGCAGGAGTGTTGATTTGCTCAAGGGTAGGAACAATCTACAGAGGGATCAATGGGCTGAGGCCAATTGTATGAGGTTCAACAAGGCTGAGCGCTGGGTCCTGCACTTGGGTCACAATAACCTCACGCAATGCTACAGGCTTGGGGAGGAGTGGCTGGAGA